CGAGAATGGAAATTTGAACTGCCAACGTTCAAAGCTGAAGTTTCATTTATGAACTTGGAACTCTGAACTCTTGAACATGAACTTTGAACTTGAACTTTGAACTAGGAAAGTGATTTAAGTTCAAGTTCAAACTTTCAAATGCAAGAGTAAATCTGCGAGAATTGAACTCTAAACTGCAAACTTTGAACGTTAAGTGTAAACTCTGAACCTTTGCACTTGAATTTTGAACTTGAGCTTCAAATTTTGATCGGCGCAAATAAAACTGCAAATTTTGATTTGAGAAAAATGAGCTCTGAACCTTGATCTCTGATGCGAACTTTGATCTGCGAGGATTGAACTTGAACTTGAACTTTTGATCTTTGACAATTGACCTGCAAATTTTGATCCGACAGAATTGAGCTTTGAACTTTGATCTTTAATCTCTGATCTTTGAACTTTGACCTGCGAGGATTGGACTCTGAACTTGAACTTGACGTTTTGATCTGCGACAATTGAACTGCAAATTTTGATTTGAGAAAAGTGAGCTCTGAACCTTGATCTTTGAAATGCGAACTTTGATCTGCGAGGATTGGACTTGAACTTGAACTTTTGATCTGCGACAATTGAACTGCAAATTTTGAACGGAGAGAATCGAGCTCTGAACTTTGATCTTTAATCTCTGATCTTTGAACTTTGACCAGCGAGGATTGGACTCTGAACTTGAACTTGACATTTTGATCTGTGACAATTGACCTGCAAATTTTGATCCGACAGAATTGAGCTTTGAACTATGATCTTTAATCTCTGATCTTTGAACTTTGACCTGCGAGGATTGGACTCTGAACTTGAACTTGACATTTTGATCTGTGACAATTGACCTGCAAATTTTGATCGGAGAGAATTGAGCTTTGAACTTTGATCTTTAATCTCTGATCTTTGAACTTTGACCTGCGAGGATTGGACTCTGAACTTGAACTTGACGTTTTGATCTGCGACAATTGAACTGCAAATTTTGATTTGAGAAAAGTGAGCTCTGAAACTTGAACTTTCAACGTTAAGTTTTAACTCTGAACCTTTGCACTTGAACTTTGAACTTGAGCTTGGAATTTCGAACTGCAAGCTTTTGATCTGCGAGAACTGCGAACTTACTTTGAACGCTGAAGTTTGAACTCCGAGTTTATGAACATGAACTTTGAACTTGAACTTGCGAGTTTTAAACAGCGAACTTTGATCTGCGAGAATGGAAATTTGAACTGCCAACGTTGAAAGCTGAAGTTTCAATTATGAACTTGGACTTCTGAACTCTAAACTATTGAACATGAACTTTGAACTTGAACTTTGAACTCGGAAAGTGATCAAAATTCAAGTTCAAGTTCAAACTTTCAAAGGCAAGAGTAAATCTGCGAGAATTGAACTCTAAACTGCAAACTTTGAACGTTAAGTGAAACTCTGAACCTTTGCACTTGAATTTTGAACTTGAGCTTCAAATTTTGATCGCGAAAATAAAACTGCAAATTTTGATTTGAGAAAAATGAGCTCTGAACCTTGATCTCTGATGCGAACTTTGATCTGCGAGGATTGAACTTGAACTTGAAATTATGATCTGCGACAATTGAACTGCAAATTTTGATCGGAGAGAATTGAGCTTTGAACTTTGATCTTTAATCTCTGATCTTTGAACTTTGACCTGCGAGGATTGGACTCTGAACTTGAACTTGAACTTTTGATCTGCGACAATTGAACTGCAAATTTTGATCGGAGAGAATTGAGCTCTGAACTTTGATCTTTAATCTCTTATCTTTGACCAGCGAGGATTGGACTCTGAACTTGAACTTGACATTTTGATCTGTGACAATTGACCTGCAAATTTTGATCCGACAGAATTGAGCTTTGAACTTTGATCTTTAATCTCTGATCTTTGAAATTTGACCTGCGAGGATTGGACTCTGAACTTGAACTTGACGTTTGATCTGCGATAATTGAACTGCAAATTTTGATTAGAGAAAATTGAGCTCTGAACCTTGATCTTTGAAATGCGAACTTTGATCTGCGAGGATTGGACTTGAACTTTTGATCTGCGACAATTGAACTGCAAATTTTGATCGGAGAGAATCGAGCTCTGAACTTTGATCTTTAATCTCTGATCTTTGAACTTTGACCAGCGAGGATTGGACTCTGAACTTGAACTTGACATTTTGATCTGTGACAATTGACCTGCAAATTTTGATCGGAGAGAATTGAGATTTGAACTATGATCTTTAATCTCTGATCTTTGAACTTTGACCTGCGAGGATTGGACTCTGAACTTGAACTTGACATTTGATCTGTGACAATTGACCTGCAAATTTTGATCGGAGAGAATTGAGCTTTGAACTTTGATCTTTAATCTCTGATCTTTGAACTTTGACCTGCGAGGATTGGACTCTGAACTTGAACTTGACATTTTGATCTGTGACAATTGAACTGCAAATTTTGATCCGAGAGAATTGAGCTTTGAACTTTGATCTTTAATCTCTGATCATTGAACTTTGACCTGCGAGGATTGACTCTGAACTTGAACTTGACATTTTGATCTGTGACAATTGACCTGCAAATTTGATCGGAGAGAATTGAGCTTGAACTTGATCTTTAATCTCTGATCTTTGAACTTTGACCTGCGAGGATTGGACTCTGAACTTGAACTTTTTCAACGTTAAGTTTTAACTCTGAACCTTTGCACTTGAACTTTGAACTTGAGCTTGGAATTTCGAACTGCAAGCTTTTGATCTGCGAGAACTGCGAACTTACTTTGAACGCTGAAGTTTGAACTCCGAGTTTATGAATATGAACTTTGAACTTGAACTTCCGAGTTTTAAACAGCGAACTTTGATCTGCGAGAATGGAAATTTGAACTGCCAACGTTGAAAGCTGAAGCTTCAATTATGAACTTGGAACTCTGAACTCTAAACTCTTGAACATGAACTTTGAACTCGGAAAGCGATCAAAATCCAAGTTCAAGTTCAAACTTGAATTGAATTGAGAATTGAATTCTAAACTGCGAACTTTGAACTCTGAACGTTAAGGTTTTAACCTTTGCACTTGAACTTTGAACTTGAGCTTGGAATTTCGAACTGCAAGCTTTTGATCTGCGAGAACTGCGAACTAACTTTGAACGCTAAAGTTGGAACTCTGAACTTTTGAACATGAACTTGAACTTGCGAGTTTTGAACTGCGAACTTTGATTTGCGAACTTTGAAAGCTGAATTTGGAACTCTGCACCGTTGAACATGGACTTTGAACTTGAACTTTGAATTTGAACTTAAAACTGGAAAAGTTAATCTGCGATAATTGAACTTTGAACTTTCAAATGCAAGAGTTAATCTTTTAAATGAACCTTTAATTGCGAACTTTGAATACTGAACTTTGAACTTGAAAAGCGGACTTTGATCTGCGAGAATGGAAATTTGAACTGCCAACGTTGAAAGCTGAAGTTTCATTTATGAACTTGGAACTCTTAAACATGAACTTTGAACTTGAACTTTGAACTCGGAAAGTGATTTAAATTCAAGTTCAAACTTTCTAATACAAGAGTTAATCTGCGAGAATTGAACTCTAAACTGCGAACGTTGAACTCTGAACGTTAAGTTTAAACTCTGAAACTTTACACTTGAACTTTGAACTTGCTTGAAATTTCGAAATTTGATCTGGAGAATTAAATTCTGAACTTTTGATCTGCGAGAATTGGACTCTGAACTCAAGTGCGACTCAAACTCGATCTGACAGAATTTGAGCTTTGAGCTTTGAACTTAAACTTGAATTTGGTCTGCGAAAATGGAGCTTCAAAATTTGATCAGAGAATTTAGCTCTGAATTTGAACTTTGATCTTTGAGCTAAAATTTTGAAACTGCGAGCTTTGATCTGCGAGATTTGAACTCTGAAGTTTGGAACTTTGAGCTTGGAACTTGAACTTGGAACTGCAAAGTTTGAATATCGAACTTTGATCTAGGAGAATTGAACTTTGAACTTGAAGAATTGAACTTTGAACTGCGAACTGCCAACTTTGAAATGCGAGCGGTGATCTGCGAGAATTGAATTCTGAACTAGGAGCTTTAAGCTCTGAACTATGAACTTTGTACTCGGAACATTGAACTTGGAACTGAGGACTGCATAGTTTGCATTTTGAACCTTGATCTGCGACAATTGAACTTCTGAACTGTGAACTAAAAACTGTGTACTCTTAACTTAACAGTTTGAACTGCGACCTTTGATCTTCGAGAATTGAACTTTGAACTCTGAATTTGAATTTTGAACTCTTAACTTTGAACTTGACTTTTGAAGTTTCAAAGTCGAACATTAAACTGCAAATGCGAGTTTGAATTGCGAACTTTGATCTGCGACAACTGAACTCGGAACTCTAAACTTTGAATTATAAACTGCAAATTCTGCACTTTGATTACTCAACTTTGAACTGTGAACTTGAACTGCAAACTGTGATCTGCAAGAATTGAACTTTGAACTGCGAACATTGAACTCTAATCTCTTAACTTCTGATTCTAAAATTTGAACTCTGAACTCTTTACTTTGAACTGTGATCTTTAACCAATGAACTCTGCACTGCGAATTCTGCATTCTGAACTTTGCATTTTGAATTAACTGCGAATTATGCCTCTGACTGAACTCTGAACTGCCAACTTTGAACTCTAAACTTGCGAACTTTGAGCTGAGAACTTTCAACTGTTGACTTTGAACTGCGAACATTGAACTCTGAACATTGATATCTGAACTTTGAACTGTGAAATGCGAACTCTGAACTTTGAAATCCGATTCTTAACTTTGAACTCTGATTTTTGAACTGAGAACTGCGAATTTGAACTCTGAACTTGGAACTCTTAACGGCAAACTCTGCAATAAGAGCTTTGTACTTCAAACTTCGACAGTAACACTGCAATTTGCACTCCTTATACAGTTCGCACCTGTGAATTGTGAGCTCTGTACTCATAAATTCTAACAAACGGTAAGAAAAGAAAGATGCTGTGAGAACATTAATGGCAAGTTCAGAGTTTAATAAACTTCCCAAAGATTCTAAATCAGTTATTCAAAAACAGATAGTTTTGAACAAGCTTTGTGCTTTAAAAACGATGAGGATAATGTCTGAAATAAATGCCGAGGAGAGATTTGTGACAATCCGACCCTAAAAGACATACAGGTTAAATTTGTAGTGTGAAATATAGACCTCAGTGATTTTTCGACGAATTCACATAACTATTTATGCTTTACAAATTAACACAATCTAACATTAACGCAAAATATAATGTACATTACAAATATATTTCAGGAAGTTTTTAAAATACAATTACAAAACAATATTATACAATATCGAGTGGCTCAGAGTGAAATGGGAGGAATATTTATCGCTCCGTAAATTCTGGACTTTTTCCATTTCACGAGGCGAAGATCATTAAATTAAAATGTTATTCCAATACAAGATTGGTTGGAAAACCAGAGCTATATTAAATTACTAGAGCGCTAACTCCTCATTCTTGGGCGCGGAGACGCTTTGAAGCCATCCTGGGGGCAGACATTTTGAATTCATGTGGGCGTTTGTAGAGCATAATCAAATTAGATGATTTTATATTGAAAGTGTACTCTAAATTGCAACGCGCAAGCTCGTCACCGATGGTGTTTTTTTTTAAAGTCATGTTAATCATCCCGCAGCTGATACGCGCACGTATTGCGCTGTTTGCGTAGAGCAAAATAAAATGCTCATTTGCTGATCGTACTTCGCGGTTTTGGGCGTATCAGCTCCAATAACGCACCTGTACAGAATACAAACGCAGATATGCAAATTGACGCACAGCATACGTACACAATTTCGAGTTTTCCATAGGAATTTGCACAAACATGGTACGCCCAGCAGGAATCACTTTGTCAGCGCACTAGTAATTTAACTGAGCTCTATTTGGAAAACGTATTTCTTTCTCCAAACGACCCCTTCACGAAAATGTTTGGACCCAACTCTGTAGTGCTGGCTGAGCCTTTCACACCAGCATGCATTTGCACACAAATACATCATGGAACAAGAATGATCCCAACTGTTGAATAGTATTTCCCATGGGCGAATGGGGCTTCTTGAGCCCCGACGTGAATGGGAGCAATAACGAATGTCACGTGATGTCAGTTCCACCTATCAAATGACAAGGATCTGTATGTCGGTTATATAAAATATAATAACAACTCAACTCCACGCCAAACCAATAAACAATCAATAAGTTTAAACAATGTGGTAATTCCAGAGAATGGTCACAAAACAAAAGTTCACTAGCAAACTGATTGAAATAAGTAAGTATGATTGTTAGTGCACCTCAAATGTTTTTGGTGTGGGTGACCGTTTTGGAACACTGGCTGGTTTGTGCGTGTAGAAAAGAAGGCACTCCAGCCACTGTTGCGCTTCCTTGCTGGAATTTGCTCGAAGCTTGTAACATCTTTCTTCAGTCTGCACAGTTAAAGTTTTATCATCTTCAAGTGCCACAGGAACGCCTCGCAAATAAATCGACTCCACATTTTTTTCATTTTTCCGCTTACTATAATAAAGGTGACCATTTGTTGTTAGCTCAAAGAAGCGTCTATTCCATGAAGAGGTAAGCGGCGTCTTGGTGTTGCTAAGTTTTTCCAAATAGCCTTCTTTTGTTGGATTCCAAGTCGGCCTCCTGTCTTGCCTTTTGTTCTGAAATCCCTGCGAAATTAAATAAAGTTCTGTCATTTTTAAACATTACAACCATTTAATAAGAGCAGCATTATTTTAAAGAAATTAAAAAAACACATGAAATTAAATAATTTGTAGTTGTCTCTTTGAAAGCCATGACAATGGATTCCAAATACATGACTAAATGAAGGACATAAGTCTCCGTTGAGTTTGCACTTAAAACAAAAGTTTAAGGAGGGGAGATATTTAATTTTTGAGAAAAATATAAATAGTTAAAACAGTGCTCACTGCTGATCTCTGAAAGTTGCCAAATTATTTGAAGAACCATCAAATTTGACAACTCTCATAGAACATCAGTGAGTATTGTTTTAACTTTTTACAATTTTCCCACTGTTTGCCTGGTGGAGTAATCATCCACCGTCAGGTATCTACGATAACCCAAAGACAAATCCGTGCTAAATCCAATGATCTGGTGGTTAACTTCACGTCACTCACAAAGAATGCTCGTGTTCCTTACCGGTCTTATGCTTTTTTACAAATTTATATTTTTTTTATAGTTTTTATAGGTGGCATATGGTAGGAATTGTGACTGGCTGGTCCAAATCACCAAACTTGGCTGAAATTAGTTTGGAAAGGGTGCCTTATTTGCATAAAGCGTTAAAGCCTGCCATGTAATATATTTATTCCCATATTTGGGTATATTTTAATTTTGTTCATTTATTTGGAAAAGTATATTTTGGGATTCTACTTATATATCCTTACTTAAAGAATATTTTCTAGAGCATATCAGAGACTGGATGATTACGAGGACATACTAAAGATCCAAAAATGGTTACCATTGTACTCGTGCATTTTTGCGCGCATTTACCTTTTCCTCAGATATCAAGTAATCTTTCAAACCGCAGTATTGACGAGCTTCAAATTCACAATGTGAAAAATGATAACATCTTGATATTTAGCCCCCCCCCAACAAAAATATTTTTAAAAAGGAAAGGGGATTAAAATGAGGTGGACACCTGGGCAAAAAATCAATGTTATTAATGTTGACATGATTTTCCATAAGGTTTTAATAGGGTAACTAGGCCAGTGAGCAACTTGATGATTTTGAAGCTCATCAAAACCGAGGTTTGGCAAGACTATTTAATATCTTGAAACAAGGGAAATGTGCACAACTTTAGGGTATAATGGTAGACATTTTGTATCGTTACTATGTCCTCACAATGATTCAGTCATTTAAATCTGTTGAAAAATGCTATTGGAATAAGGATGTGTAAGTTTATATTCATTTTTTATAGTTTTTATAGGTGGCATATGGTAGGAATTGTGACTGGCTGGTCCAAATCACCAAACTTGGCTGAAATTAGTTTGGAAAGGGTGCCTTATTTGCATAAAGCGTTAAAGCCTGCCATGTAATATATTTATTCCCATATTTGGGTATATTTTAATTTTGTTCATTTATTTGGAAAAGTATATTTTGGGATTCTACTTATATATCCTTACTTAAAGAATATTTTCTAGAGCATATCAGAGACTGGATGATTACGAGGACATACTAAAGATCCAAAAATGGTTACCATTGTACTCGTGCATTTTTGCGCGCATTTACCTTTTCCTCAGATATCAAGTAATCTTTCCAAACCGCAGTATTGACGAGCTTCAAATTCACAATGTGAAAAATGATAACATCTTGATATTTAGCCCCCCCCCCCAACAAAAATATTTTTAAAAAGGAAAGGGGATTAAAATGAGGTGGACACCTGGGCAAAAAATCAATGTTATTAATGTTGACATGATTTTCCATAAGGTTTTAATAGGGTAACTAGGCCAGTGAGCAACTTGATGATTTTGAAGCTCATCAAAACCGAGGTTTGGCAAGACTATTTAATATCTTGAAACAAGGGAAATGTGCACAACTTTAGGGTATAATGGTAGACATTTTGTATCGTTACTATGTCCTCACAATGATTCAGTCATTTAAATCTGTTGAAAAATGCTATTGGAATAAGGATGTGTAAGTAGAATCACCAAAATATACATTTTAATTTTTTTTTAAAAGCAATAAGAGGATTTATGCAAATTAGGCCCCTTCCCGGGAGCAATTTGGTCATCCCTCGCACCACCATGAATACAGGGAAACGTGCATACTCCGTTGCTGGGCCCCAAACATATAACTTATTACCATCCAGAACACATCATTTTCTTAACAGTTAAAGGGACCCTTAAACATATTTTGTTTTTATTAAATTTTTTCCCGAATTCTTATGATTTGTTTAGAGCGCTCTAAAAGATGCTTCTACTGAAGGCAAGATGTGCAAGTTGTACCTTACCAATGACATTGTGTGGCTACTCAAAAATGATTAAAAAGGAGATCACCTTTAACTTTTGCATTTTGTTCGTTGGAAACAACAGAAGTGCTAAAAATCTATTATACACGGGCGTTTAACACAACTAATCCAATGAAGTTTCAGCTCAGATAATGCTGTATATTCCGAGAAAAAAAAATTCTAGAATCTCGATTTCATATCAAACATATTTGAACTGGGCCTGAATTCAGCGTCCGAAACACGTTCTACAATCGGCCACTTGTTAAACAAGTCAAAGACAAATTTCCTTTCCTAAACACTCTTGTTAACACGCATTAACATTACAAATTTAGGGGATATTTCATATTATTACATCCAAAATGAAGTTTACTGTTTTTGAATACTTCATGTTTTGGCAAAATGGCAGGGATTCTCTAACAAATGCTAAATTCTGTTCAATTGTGTCCTGACAAATTTGTACAGACAAGCTTAACACATTTTTATATAGTCAAGTCGATATTTATAAATTATAGTCAAGTCGATATTTAAAAAATGTTCAATTAAGAGATTTTGTTTGTGTAGAAGTTGGTAACAGTTATTTTACCTAATAGGGGGTGTTGAATCAGAAAATGGTGATACCATTACCAAGCTGAATGATGAGATTAAAGGGGTGTACTGCGATTTTTTTTAATTTTTTTTTACCTTTTTAACTGTACATTTTCAAAGTCCTCACTGAACTCATTCGAAGGAGCTAACAACAACTTAAAAAACAAGTCAGGTGTGTTTACAAACACAAATGCCCCGCAACCGTGACTGTTCCCATGACATAACACCACTCTTTCGACATCAACTAACACTAGGTTCAGACAGGCGTTCCAGAGTCGCGCCGAACCAAATGAAAGTCTAGATTTGAATTAAATGCGTCAAAAGTCCGACGTCTGAAACAATTAGGATCGACTTGACGTGCTCGATGGCGAAAGATCGACTGTTGGAGTCATTAGAACATCTCAGGAGCGACTTGGTTTCAGACGTCGCTCTAGTCATGAGTCGAACTCAATTCAAATGTATGTAAATGTATGTAAATAAGCAGTGACCTTCAAAAATAAGGACTGCAGGCAATGTGTTTAATGCGCGACGCAGTGCCTTATAATTTAAAAGTTTTCTTTTTGCAGATTTACATCCTTTCAAACACGAGATTTCGATGTCGTGTTACAGAGCAAAAACTTACAATATATGTACGTCCCACTGTCACCCCAATACAACACAAGATGCATTTTTTTTAAAGCAGGAAACCAAGACTTCCAGTATCCATGTTGTACAGGCACGGCGCAGTCTTGAAATACAAATTGTTCGTACGTGGCGTGACGTGCAAGAGATAACGTGAGCGCACATGGCGTACGTGTTCATAGATATAGAACGTGCTAGCTGTCTTCTTCGATACGTGCGCACTTCGCGCAGTACGTTCTCAATCAGCGTCGATGCAGCGATTACGTATTACACGGCCAGGCGAATAACGTCGACCTGGAGTCGCTCTGGACTCTGGAACGCCTGTCTGAACCGGGGGTTACATGTACCTGGGTCACATGGAACGTTCATTGACATCATTATTGTTTTCTGTAGGTTATATTGAATTAATCCCTATGATCTTAGAATAAATATAATGTGTTTTTTTTTTGGCTTTTCTGTTGGGAAGTCATTGTATGTGATGTAAAAGAGTGAGTGAATGTAAAGAGACAACAAAAAAACACCAAGATTTCTATTGTTGTAGCCACTGTGACCTTGACCTTTCGGCCCCAAATGCAATAAGACTTCTTAGGATTACCAAGAACAATTCACACACCAAATTTGAAGTTCATATATTAAGTATTTCTCAAGTTCATAAGATGGAATTTTGCGTCGGGGTAATGTAAATCAAATTAGGTTTTGCCCTTCACCGACGTATGCTAATGTACATCAGATTCTAACCAGCCAACCGATCCCATTAGCTTGGTGGTCAAGTGGTAATATAAGACATCTGCACTAGAAAGCAGGAGGTCGTGGGTTCGAGTCCCACCTGAGTGAATTTTTTTCAACTTTCACTGGGGAGGTAACACACTGAGTATACAGTTTTTATACGTCGGTGAAGGGCAAAACCTAATTTGATTTACTTCTCAAGTTATCGCGCTGACAAGATTTTTTTCTGGACACACACCCACACACACGCGCACACACCCATGTTTTTTTTGGGGTAGTTATGGGGTACTACTATTGTCCACTTGACTTCCCTTCTTTTACTCTCCTTTGTTCCTATTGTTCCTATTGAAATCTCAAACTCCATAGCGTTTTACATACGGGGGTACTAAGATTTCGAAAGACCGACTTGTAGGGTACCATAGCCTTGACCAAGGCTTTCAGTTTGTTTCCATACGAGCTTGTTCCCACTACCGCACACAGCGCGCGCCGCGACACTATTACTATACCGTTAGCTTAAACGACCCTTGCGTGTGCTTTGTGTGCATGTACGCACACCCCACACACACTTCTGCAAACAGCCGTACAGTAAGTCGAGGCAGAGGATAGCCTTGACGCAACCGTGTAGGCTCAATATGATAATTAGTACGCGCTATGGTAAATAGTCTTCTCTCATTGGATAATGGCTGCCAAAAAAATGAATATTTATTAAATTGCATAATGCGACCAAAGGTTTATAAACCAGACGTCCCTGTGGTAACAATAATCATTGTAAAA